CAAATAGTGATAGTTTGACTTCTTCTTTTCCTATTTGGATTCCTTGTATGTCTTTCTCTTGTCTTTTTGCTCTGGCTAGGACTTCCAGTATTATATTGAAAAGCAGTGGTGAGACTGATCATCCTTGTCTTTTTCCAGATCTTAATGGAAATGCTTTCAGCTTTTCACCATTGAGAATGATACTGGCTGTTGGCTTGTCATTTATGGCCTTTATGATGTTGAGGTATGTTCCTTGTATCCCAAGAATTTCAAGGGCTTTTATCATGAATGGGTTTTGCAGTTTGTCAAAAGCTTTCTTGGCATCTATTGATATTATCATATGGTTTTTACATTTCTTTTTGTTGATGTGTTGGATAACGTTGATTGATTTTCGGATGTTGAACCATCCTTGTGTCCCTGGCATGAATCCTACGTGGTCGATATGCACATCAAAGACATCTTTACAGACACATCACCCAAAGCAGTGATAGTGAAGGCAAAGATAAATAGCTGGGACTACATCAAATTAAAGAGCTTCTGCACAGCAAAATAGACAATAACAAAGCAAAGAGAAACCCCACCGACTGGGAGAATATTTTTGCACACAACACTAATGATAAAGGACTGATCACAAAAATCTGCAAAGAGCTGATGAGACTCAACAACAACAAAGAAAATAATCCTGTCAAAAAATGGGCAGAAGAGCTAAAAAGAAACTTCTCTGAAGAGGAAATGCAAATGGCCAACAGGCATGTGAAAAAAGGTTCAACATCACTTGTAATCAGGGAGATGCAAATCAAAACTACCATGAGATATCATCTAACACCAGTGAGAATGGCACATATTAAAAAAAACTAGCAACAGCAAATGTTGGTGAGGGTGTGGAGAAAAATGAACTCTCTTGCACTGCTGGTGGGAGTGCAAACTGGTCCAACCACTATGGAGAGCTGTGTGGACATTTCTGGACCTACTAAACCTAGAGCTTCCATATAATCCAGCAATTCCACTCCTAGGTATTTACCCAAAGGACACCAAAACATCACCTCCAAAGAGCACCTGCACCCCTATGTTTATAGCAGCACTGTTTAAAATAGCTAAGCTTTGGAAACAACCCAAATGCCCAAAAATAGATGACTGGATCAAGAAGTTGTGGTACATATGCACCATGGAATATTACTCAGCATTCAAAAAAGATAAGCACATGTAATTTACAGCAACATGGATGGCACTGGAAGGTATCATGCTCAGCGAAATAAGCCAGAAAGAAAAAGAAAAATACCTGATGGTCTCACTCATAGTAGGAATCTAGAAAACTTAAATAAGGGACCAGGAAAAAGAATAATTATAAGAAAGTACAAATCAAAATCAACAAACAACTATGAACCAGAGACACTCTACCCATAGAGTGGGAGGCGGGGAGGGGAGGGATTGGGGTCAAAATAAGGGAATTGCAATTGTATGGGGAATATAAAAATAAAATTTATTTTAAAAAATAGTTTGCTTTAAGAAGAGAGACTAAAATAAGATTTTAAAGAAAAATCCCTTGTGTCCAAACCATTTGAGGATTATCCATTTTGTAGTGGCAACTAGAGCAAAGGCACAAAAAATGTTAATTGGAGACAGCATTCTTTCTGTCATGTCAGTTCTTTCATCAAAGCTCTTTCTGATTAGCAGTAAAACACATTAGGGAAGCAGGATTTTGATCCCACTGCTGTCATCTTGAATTACCTTGTGATTGCTAAATCCCAAGAATGCCCTGAGATTGGACAAAACTCTCATGGGCCCCTCAGGTTCCTTCCGACTGTCCATCTTCTAGACCAACGAGATCTGGTTGCCTGTTGGCCATTTCATGGGGCTTAACTGTGTGTGCAGCAGAAGCATAGCTAAGATTCTTAGCTCTTTAAGTCTCTTCTGGACTTGAATGAGATATGACATTTTAAGTCATATAAGCCATCATAAGTAACTGCCAATGAGGCTGGACATGTAGGGGAAAGGTAAGACTATGGGGTCAAATTTTACCAATAGGAAACAACAGAAGGGGACTTCTGGGCAGGTAAATTTCTCCTCCTTCTTCCTTTCCAAGAACTTTTCAAGGCATGGTGGTTGCTCCGGCTCCTTTGGAGAAGTGCCATGTCCCTACTGGATGCACCTGCCAATATGACCTTCTGTGTCTATGCAGCTCATTGTGTTACAGAAACCAGTGTGCTTACTATGTTGTGATATCTTTTACCTTGTCACACTTCCCTTTTACTCACCCTCACTCCTTGGGTTTGTACTTTCCAAACAATAACCAGTTCTTTGCCTCACATTTGTTGTCTGAAGAATCTGGTTAAAATACATCCCGTAAGTTGGAATTTTAGTAATATATCTTTTAATAATTAAAAATTCCCAGTGAGGACCTCCCTGGTGGCACAAGGGGTTAAGCACAGCACTATGAAGCTATCTCCAGCCTTTGCAGCAAGAGTTAGCTCCCCCGCCAGGGAGGCAGATACCCACATGGTGCAGCAGACCTCTCCTGTCTCACCATGTATTTCAGTCTGTCACTTCTGTTCCCCACTCTGGCGAATCCTCTCACCCCTTGCACCTCTGGACTGTACCCCAGTTCTTGTATGCATAAATAAATAAATAAATATTTATTAAAAAATTCCTAGTAATATAAAACTACTATTCTTCCAGGTATTTTGTAGTTATTAAAAGTGAGTTTTATGGGTTTCAATATTGTTATAATGTTGGTTTGTTAAAGTCACTGGTGGGTGTGTCTCAAGATACCAATTATAGTAGCACCTGGAAGCTAATTTCAGGTGTCAATGATGACTGCTCAGATAGCTGCCCATGGACTTTTATGGCTTGCTTCACAGTTATTTTCTCGGAAAATGTCACTCATTTTGAGAGACATTGTCAGGATTCAGACAACGTCAGGTCTTTCCTGTGCTCCACAAGAGATTAGAGTGGGGAATCAGTAGTGGGAAGGAAACACCAACTCCTGGAACAAGGGGAGTATTTGAAAGATGTGAGATCATGTCAAAATGCGTACCTGTGTGGCCTCCAACATGACACCTTTGGAGGAAACAGCCCCGGAAGTTGGGGTGCCTAGGAAGCTATAAACTTCATGTAAAACATGACAGCTGATGTCCCTCCACTAGTCTACCTGGGAAAGATTTTCTGACCTCAGTCTTATCTTAGTCACTTGTCTGTCCATTTCCTTTTGGTTCATTTCTGCCTTTCAGCTCAACCCTCTGGTGATTTCCTTGATTGTCATCACTTTGACTTGTAGTCCAAGTTTCATCTCTCAGTTTTCTCTTTGGATCGATGGTTTTTTCATTGCCCCATTTTCCCCTAAGTTTCTCCTTTTATGATTATTTTCTGCTTCATCTTTTCAACTTCTACTGAAATCACCACCTGTGACCACTGAAATTGGTTTCCAACATTCAAAGGAAAAGAAAGAATATTCACAGATTTCATTCATTTAAGTATTACTAAAATAATGTTCTTTTCTTTCTATTATGTTCAACTGTATAACATTAAATTTTTCTGGAATAGTGGTTCTAAATCATTTGAGCTTTGCAAGTTCTCTTTGTTAATTATTGAGACTCCTAAATAGCTATACACATTTACTGCAATAGAGATAAACGGACTTTAAAAAAATATTTCAAAGAGTTTGTTTTGTTGTTTAATATTTTCCTTAGAGAATAAAAAGTAAATGAATAATTGTGATCTCCTTAAAATTTTGTACTTATTACCACTGAAATGTGGTTGTCTTTCTCCTCAGGCCCTCTCTTCCTTTTTAGGAGATCTGGTTTACAGGGTAGAAGTCACTGTGAAGCAGTCTCTTGCTTATGCCCACACAGCTTAGTGAGGCCTGCACATAGACCACTGTGCAGGTATTATCTATACATTGCTTTTAAGAATTGTATTGGGAGAGGAAACACAAAAAACTTTCTTTCCAGGCTTCCTTAATCGCAAATAATGAACTTCAGCTAAACCTCTAAATAACTCATGTAGAAAAGAAACTTTAGTATCTCATTTAATGACAAAGTTCAAAGGCCAAACTAGCTGATACATAACCAAATCTAGTGGAAAAACAATGTGTATGTGTGTGTGTGTGTGCTTGTGTGTGTATGTGTGTATGTGTGTGTTGGCATTATTTGCAGTTTAGCGGTCTCCATATGGTGTCACAAAAGGTAACTGGTAGTGGCAGATTCTATTCTCATTTGCTTCACAGTTTCTGGGAAAAAGAGAGTAACTCTTCTTGCTTATTAGAAAAACTTCAGAGGAGGATGTTGGTATGACATGAGGCTGGTGGGTATCTCCAACCTAATCATGCTGATTGGGAAATAGAGTTTTCTGATTGGTTAGACCAGGCTACATGCTCATTTCTGTGCTAGAAAGGCAGTGATTGTGATTGACAATTCCACTGGGTTTTAGCAGGGATGTATCAAAGAAAGAAAGAAAAGGAAGAATAGTTTGAAATAAAATTTTCCAAGTGAGGATAGTGATGACCTTTGATAAGAAAAAGCCATGCAAGAGCTCTAACAAGTTGTGACTCCATATTCATAACTGGTTCTAGCTGTTTTTTTTTTTAAGATGTATTTTTTATTTATTTATGCATACAAGAACTGGGGTGTAGGTCAGAGTACAGGGGTAAGAGGATTCACAAGAGACAGAGTAGGGAGCAAAAAAGGTGGCTCTACTGAAATGCACTGTTGAAGGGAGCAGCTAGTGCGCTAGGAGAAATCTGTTGGCCATGTGGGTTAGCTCCCTGGCCAGGGATCAAACTGAGGCCATTATGGTGATAGCACTGAATCTTAACCTCTATGGCACCAGGGAGCTCCTGGTTCTACTTTTTATCTAAAGTAGAGAGGAAAGACATACAGTTGAAAAAAGGGGAGCAGGGCAAGGAGACACAATAAAAAGCTAAAGAATTAACCTTTGATAATTACCTGATTCATCTAGGTGGTTATTGTTTCTGATTCTCTGCTAAAATGGGAGTTTCTTTCAGTCTCTTTTATTTTGCTTTTTAGGTGGACAAAAAAATTGTAAGAACTGAGATAGGAGTTCTTCTTCGCCTCTCACATCCAAATATTGTAAGTGGTTTTTAACCTACTATTTCAAATAATCTCCAGAATTATAGCATGGGATTTTTGTTCTTTATTGTTCATCCTGAGTAGCGGATGATGAGAAGCTGAATCTTCTATCAACAGTAGTCATCATGGCTTAGCTCTCATCCTCATAGGATCACATTTTTTAAAATTCTATAGCTGAGTAAAGATTGAAATAACATTCCTTGAACGAGTTTCAAAATAGAGCAGCAAGGTATGCCATCTTTATTTTTATGCATAAAATTATGCCTTTAATTTGGAGAATTTTTTGTTCCAATAATTCAATGACTTTTTCTTATTAATATATGGTTATCTTATAAATATCCATTGCTGAAAAAGCCTATGAAGAAAATGCATTGCTTTTCAAAATCATTTCAGTCTTCTTTGATAGAGTATATAATTCAGAAACAATGTGAAGTTTCAAATAAATGATTTATCGGAATGGGGAAGATAAAATGTCCTCAGAAGCTCTGCTTTAGACTATATCCAGACAAAAGCACTGAGGAAAAGGTCTGCTGAATAGCTTTCTTGGGCCAGTGAAGTGAAAAGAATAATATTATTTTCCAAGCTATAACTTATTTTTTGGAATTGAGTTACCTACTTACATAAATGATAATTAATGATAACTTAATTTTTGATAGAGTTGTGGTGTTCAAGAGAATGACCTACAATGCTTGGGCTCAAGGCAAAGTGCATACAACTTAATATGTGAGCTAGTGATTCATTACGTTGTAATAACAGAAAACTTGAATATAGTAGTCTAAAGAAGTATTTTTCTTATATTATCAAAAATCAGAGGGGAGGCAGTTGCTAACATTGTTTCAGCTCTTCAGAGACATCATCCACCTGTTTGTACATTGAGACCTGGAAAGTTCTCACTAGGAGAGTTTGATGAAAAGAGTAAAACATTTTCCAGAGTTTTCAGCTATAGCAGAATTCTCTTATAATTTTAATGTGCAAAACTGATTACATCATCCTTAACTGCTTGGAGGCTGGGAAGTTGGGGAACAAGGTTGTCATAAGGATCTTAAATCAACAATGATCCACAATTCAAGGCAAGGGACATCATTTGCCTGGACAGAATCAGAGTTCTGCTTATATTTTAATTTTTTAAAAGATTTATTTATGCATGCAAGTACTGGGGTATAAGCCACAGGTGCTGGGGGTGAGAGGATTCACCAGAGAGAGTGGGGAACGGAACAGGAAGATCTACTGAAATATAATGGTGAGGGGAGCAGTGGGCAAGACAGGAGAGGTCTTTTATGCCATGTGGGTCAGCTCCTTGGCTGGCCCAGGGATCAAACTGGTGCTGTAGTGGCTGGTGATTGCTTGACAGCTCTGTGTCTTTAACCCCTGAAACATCAGGGAGGCCCCAGAGTTCTGCTTATAATTAGGGTAGAAAAGACTTGAGTAGAAAATAAAATTTGCCAGATTTGATCACTTATTTTACATTGTTCAACTTCTTTTGTTCTTCCAAAGAGAAACCAATGAGGAATTTTACGCAAATGTAGATCGAGTCTAGTCTCTAGATTTTCAGATGTATTAAGGAAAATTCCAAAAGTGAATGCATTATCTGTGTGTGAAGAAAATCTTATTGTGGTCAATCAAAGCACTACTACTACTACTTTTCTGAGGAGCCCTCTATCCACCAACAACTTTTTAACTGCCTTTTCTATACACACAGACTTTAATTTGGTCCTGTTGTGATTCAGACTCCAAATTCCAAGTTCCTTCCCAGGACAAAGAGGCATTTGCATCTCTAGAAACAAGATGCCCTCAAATATTTTAGGATTTTTTTTTTTTTAGTTGGTTGCATTTGTTTATTATTCTTGGAGCAATTCTGAAATTGAAATGCTTTGACAAATTGGAGGAAGTGTTTCCAAGGCAGCACTCTTTCAACTGTCCAAAAGAAAATACAAAAACTTATAAAGGTATTTAAGGAAACATGAGGTAAATGATAAAAACAACTAGAGTGAAAAATGGCTACCTGGTCTGGAATCAGGAATCCTTAATATTACTAGCACAGGAATCCTTAACATATTGCTAGCACAGATAGTGCTATTTTAGTATTTCTAAGAAAGATGAAAATAAAGAATTTGTGATACTCTTTTTTTTTCCACTTCTCTAGATAAAACTTAAAGAGATATTTGAAACCCCTACAGAAATCAGTCTGGTCCTAGAACTCGTCACAGGAGGAGAACTTTTTGATAGGTGAGTTGGTCTTGGGACTCTAACAACAGAAAATGTTTGCTTCTAGTCACAAGGAAAGAATCAAAGGGAAATTTCTCTTGTTTTTTTATAATATATAATACCAGTTGATAAATTCTACTGAAAATAAATTTCAAAAAGTGTGTAGAACAGAAAGAGAGAGACATTTGATAAGATACAAGTGGATAATAAATTGGGGATGCTAAATGTATAAAAAGAGAAACGCTTTAATATCTATTTACTTTTTTTTAATTATCCACTTTTATTTAGTTTTTATTTATTTATACAAGAACCAGGGTACAGGCCAGATGCACAGGAGGGAGAGAGGATTCACCAGAGACACAGCGGGGAACAGAACAGGCAGACTGATGAAATACACTGCCAAGGGGAGCAGCGGGCAAAACAGGAGAAGATTTATTCACCATGTGGGTTGTTCTGAGGCCTGCGGGGATCGAACCGGCGCTGCAGGGGCTGTGGATGCTTTGCAGCGCTGCACTTAACTGCCTGAGCCACCAGGGAGGCCCCCCAATCTATTTACTCTTGAGAACATTTACTTCCCCAATGAGAAAGAGAATGTTTAATGCCATACTAAATTTAGAATAAATTGAAAGATCTGACAGAATAATATTTGAGAAAATAGTAATGAAAATTATTGGAAGTTATACAACTACATTCTCTACATTCAAGTTATACTAACTGCATTCTCTAGAATGATTCCACAGCACATAAAATCCATATTTAGAATGATTCCACAGCACATAAAATCCATATTTACTAAACGATTATTTTTAAGCTTCTATAGACTTTTTTAGGCTATCTGAAGAGTTCCAGGTTTTAGAATAAAGTATGTTCTATTACAGACAATTAAGGTTATTGTAGTCAATTTTTGTTGTCTGTTTTTTATGTTCACCATTCCAGTCAGAGGTTTAATGATGGCAAGCAGGAGAATGACTTAAATCTAGTAAACATACCATAGACAAACTATTTGTGCAAGGGACACAAACTTTAAGTTTCCATTGCTTTTCTACCTTCTCCATCTTCTCAGGTGAATTAGCTTCTTGCCCTGATGAACTTTTAAGGGCCCTTTGCAGTGTTCAGTGGGTAATTAAAAAAAATAGAATTGAAAGATGACAAAGATGCTAAGTAGGTGCATATTAGAAATGGTCAAGAAACTGCACTGATGTAAATGTTGTATTGGTTAAAGATGGGTTAAAAAAGAAGCATGCTATAGGATGGAGGGAACTGTTGCTGTAGATTGAGTCCGTGGAGCATGGAAAATGCTCAGTAAATATTTACTGAGTGAATGAGCAACCACTAGAGTGAATGGAATGGAAGGAGAAAGATCTAATGGGGACAGGTTTTGAATGTGTTGGGAGAGGAATACTTCTTCCCTTTCTTTCCACTCCAGCCCCACCCACTTAACTTTGCTGTGTCTGAAAGAGCTTCCAAAGGATTCATATTCTTCTTCAAAAGTTCTTTCTACTTTCAACATAACCCAGTGCAGAGTGGGACCTTCAAGTAGGAAGAAGATATATGGCTCAGCTAGGTTGGAATTATTTTTATTTATTTATTTATTTACGCATATAAGAACTGGGGTAGGGCCTCCCCTGGTGGCGCAGCTGTTGAGCACTGGGCTGCGAAGCTGCCTGCAGCCTCTGCAGAGCCGGTTCAATCCCCGGCCACCAGCGAGGGTCCCACATGGTGCGCAGACCTCTCCTGCCACGCCCGCTGCTCCCCTCAGCAGTGTACTTCAGTCCTTCTGCCTGTTCTGCTCCCGCTCTGGCTCTGGTGAATGCTCTCACCCTACCGCGCTTCTGACTGTACCCAGTGCTTGTATAAATAAATAAATAAATCTTAAAAAAAAGAAACAACTGGGGTACATGCAAGAGATGCATGGGGTGGGAGGATTTACCAGAGATAGAATGGAGAGCAGAACAGGCAGACTGACTGAAATACACTGCTGAGGGGAGCAGTGGGTGAGACAGGAGAGGTCGCTGCACCATGTGGGTCAACTCCCTAACCAGGTATTAAACTGCTGCAGTAATGTGGATTGCTTCATAGTGCTGACACTTAACCCCTTGTGCCACCAGAGGCCTCAGCCATGAGGTCTTTTTATGGTGATCTTACATATTTTTTCTGCTAATTACAGACTATCAGAGGTAAATCTTAAGTTCTTTTAATTATAAACACTTGTGGACAGGAATGTAACAATAAAATTATCATCAACTTATTTACTATTTACCTACTTAGTTCTATTAATTTGAATTATTTTAGAATCAAGTGTCTTTTCTTACTTCCTTCCCAACCTTTTTTCCATGAGAAAATTCTAGTTCTCTAGTAGTCTGATTGATTTTGATGAGACTGAGTTAATGCATATCTATTTAAAAATGAACACTAAATGCTGTTCATAAATTTCATTTACAAAGATAATTGGCTGAAATATTCATATTTAACAGGGTCATCTAAATATATGGCAAACAGCCAGTAAAGCAATTAACCACTCTATAAATTGTTAGTGGTTACAGAAGATAGAATTTTTTTCTCTCTGGATATTGTTGTCCATATCATTGCCCTGGCAAAATCAACTTGGATTCTCCATGAACTTTTTTAATTGTACAGTTAATTTTAAAATTATATCAAGCTAAAAATGTATCCTACATTATTTTTCATGTATTGCTTTCTTTCTTGAAAGTCTCTTTTTCCTGTACTAGGTTAAAACCAGATTTAATTAATTGTAAGGATAAAAATTCATTCCTGGTTTAATGATGATTCTAATAGTATCTAATAAATGAATTAATAGAGCAACTGATGAAGAGATAATCATATTAGCCCATTATCATCAAAATGGTTGTAGTTAATTAGTGAAAGGACTATTCTATAGTCCTTTCCAAGTGAAATCTGATGTTTCATGAAGAAAATAAATAAACTTCATGCTTGATTAAAATTTTTGGAGTAGCTCAGTGATTTTCTTGTGCCCAAGAAAATGAAAAATAGTTCTATAAAATTATATCATTGGGAAGAGAAAGCTCCAGTAGTTTTCTGTTGCATCCTTCTTATAGACACAACTCTTGAAACAGTGAATGAATTTTCTAAGTTCCCTCCAGTGTGAGGTTTCTGGAGGGGATAATCTAAGTAAAATAAGCCAGAAAGGGAAAAAATACTTCGTGGTTTCACTCATATGTAGAATATAGAGAGATAAAACAAAGAGCCAGACAACACCAAACCAAAAACAAATCCTAGAAATGTGACTGAAAATCTGAGGTTACCAGAGAGACAGGTGAAGATTAGAGAAGAAAGAAGATCCGGTACAATGGACAAAGAAGGAGGATTATGAGGACCTTGCTGGTGGGTGTGGTGCAGTAGTATCTACTTGAAAAGGTGGGATCCTATATTTCTGAATCATTTACAGTGTTGTAAAGCAGTGTTACTTTAATTTAAATATTGTGGAAAAAGAAATGAATATTAGGGAAGCATCCAGTGAGATCCCTCAAAAATGTCCTCTGTATGTTGGGATCCTAATTATTTTACAGTTAACCAAGGTTAGTATGAATATTTTGAGAAATTTTGGTTGTGTTTTTTAATGTGTGCTACTAATTTAAGCATACATTTTTGTTGATGAATAAGATAAATCACTTTATTATAGGAATATCATTTTTCAAGTGTTTTTGTAGGGAAGGCTTGTAGTATAGTGTACATGAAATCAAAATATGTATATTAATGAAGACTTGGAAGTTGAAGTTTTACTTTGTTAGAGAACAATGAGAACTATATTTTGTAGATTACCTTGTCTTGACACACTAAAGGTTAACATTCAAGTTTTTTTTTTACATTTTTTAACTTTTAAACAATATTTGCTTCCCCCCACCCCCTCAGATTGAGTCCCCATAGAATTTCCTTCCCTAAGAATTTTCAAGTTTTTTTTAAAAAGAAAATGATTGCATTTTAAGACAACTGATTGAACAATATTCTTAGTCTTATGAATAAATTTTTAAAAGTATTTCCCTATGTTTACCTAACATCTTTATCAGAATATCTTCTGTATCTTTGAAATTGTCTTGTTTATTATATTTTCTTGTGTTGTTATTTACCTAATTTTGTCTACTTATTTCCCAATACCATACTGCTTTGACTACTATAGTCTTACAGAATAGTTTGAAGTTTGGGAGAATGATAGCAACATTCATCTTCATTTTTTGTCAAGTTTGCTATTGCTATTTGGGTTCTGTTTCTGGTTCCATATAAATTTTAATAATGTTTGCTCTATTTCCTTGAAGAATTCTGTTGACACTTTGATAGAGATTGCATGACTAAACCTCAGAAACATTATGCAAAGTGAAAAAAAGCCAGGCACAAATGTCTACATATTGAATATGCAATAAATTTTCAGATGGGGAAAATCTAAAGAGACAGCAAACAAACCAGTGGTTGCCTAGGACTGGGAACGGGAATGTGTCGGGGAAGGGGTAAGAGTAAGAGATTTAAGTATTTCAGATTTGATAAGCTCTTTTTCTCCCCCGGTATTGTTGTAGAAGAGAAATTTATCCCCTAACAATGACTGGGGAAAAATAAAGTAGGACACTTGGGGAAGTAAGTGGTGAAATTTGGAGTGGGAATATGAGAACATACAAGACAGGATAAGGACTTTTGAGAAGCACTGAAGTCTGTTAAGGCAAGAAGTTCTGTGTGTTTGGAAACTTTGATCTGCTATTTTATGTTGGTTAAATCTCTCTGTATCTCTCAAGCAGTTTTTTATATCATCTGCTTTTTCCTTGCCTTTTACCTTACTTTTTGCTTTTCTCCTCAATCTCTTTTCCTGAGTTCTTTTTCTACTTTTCATTCATTTATGTCTATGTTTCCTGAAGTTCTTCTAAAGGTGAATTTGAAGCTCTCTTGCTTCAACCAAATTGGTGACTGCTGTCTCAGAGAGATGAAAATAGTATTTCCAACAGTCTGCTAGACATTTCCACCTACAAGTTTCATGCACACCTCTAAATCAGTATTTC